AGCCCTAGACTGCAGCACTGGCATCCCATATGGGTGCCGGTTCAAGTCTAGCTGCACCTCTTCTGATCTAGCTCTCGCCTATGGCCTGAGAAAGCAGTGGAAGATGGCCCAAATCCTTGGGCCCTTGCACCCACTTAGGAGACCCAGAGGAAACTCCTGGCTCCTGCCTACACATCAGCTCAGCTCTGGCCGTTGTGGTCATTTGGGGAGCATAATGGAAGACCTCTCTCTCTCTCTCTCTGGCTCCACCTCTCTCTGTAACACTTTCAAATAAATAAAATAATTTTTTAAAAAGAATTCAATGCTTTCATCTTTACAATGTCTGATATTTCCAATCCCATTTAGTCTAGAATATTCTGGCTCTTTGAATCAGTAGTTCTTGTAGGAGAGATAAAACTCCCACTTCATCCTCTTAGGCTGCTGGCTGGGATATATACCTGACATAAGGTATAGCAACAGAAGAAAACCTACACATTTATTCAATATAAGTTTTACGTGGCATGGGAGCCCCAAAAAGGAAACGATGACCCAAAGAAGAGGTTAGAGTCAGTCACCTTATATAAAGAATTGGACAAAGAACAGTACGTTGTGAAATGTATAAGGCAAAGGGGCATGGGCTAGGGTAGTTAACCAGGTAGAGAAGTGACTAGGAAAATAAGGATTAATTTATTTAACTATTTTAAAATACTTATTTAAATATTTAGACCAGGGGTGGGGGAGAGAGAGAGAATCTTCCATTTTCTGGTTTACTCCCCAGATAGCCACAATGGCCTGGGCTGGGTCAAAGCCAGGAGCCTGAAACTCCATCAGAGTCTTCCACGTGGATGGCAGGGGCACAAGCATGTGGGCCATTTTCTGTTGCCTTTACAGGTGCATTAGCAGGGAGCCGGACCAGAAGCAGAGCAGCCAGACTTGGACCGATGCTCCAATCAGGGATGCCAGCAGTACATGATAGCTTAAACTGCTGCCCCATGCTGGCCTCAAAGATTACTTTAATAGAATTTATCTGTACAGATTTTCTTTGGCTTGAATTTCTGGTTCTCAATGATAAGAACATTGATTTCTTTCTGTTATAGGTAGAAAATTTTCTCTTTTTTAATTTAAAAAGTGCCTATATCTATATTTTCATCCACTTGAAAGGAAGAGTCACACAGAGCAAGGGAGAGAGAGGCAGAGAGAGAGAAAGAAAGAGAGAGAGATTATCCATCGACTGTTTCATTCCCCAAATGCCCACAACAGCCAGGGCTGGGCCAAGCTGAAGCCAGGAGCCAGGAACTTCATCCAGGTCTCCCACGCAGATGGCAGGCGCCCAAGCACTTGAGCCATCATCTGCTGCCCCCCAATATGCATCAGCAGGAAGCTGAATAGGAAGTGGATGAGCCAAGACTCCAACTGGCATTATGGAATGAGGGTGTTCCAAGCAGCAGCTTAATCCATTGTGTTTACAATGCTAGCTCCTTTTAACAGATTTATTTATTTGGGGCTGGCGTGGTGCAGCAGTTTAAAGCCCTGGCCTGAAGCACCGGAATCCCATACGGGCGCCGGTTCTAGTCCCAGCTGCTCCTCTTCCGGTCCAGTTCCCTGCTATGGCCTGGGAAAGCAGAAGAGGATGGCCCAAGTCCTTGGGGCCCTGCACCCACGTGGGAGACCCAGAAGAAGCTCCTGGCTCCTGATTTCGGATAGGACCAGCTCCAGCCGTTGCGGCCATCTAGGGAGTGAACCAGTGGATGGAAGACCTCTCTCTCTCTCTCTGTCTCTATCTCTCTCTGTAACTTTTTTTTTTTTTGACAGGAAGAGTGGACAGTGAGAGAGAGACAGAGACAGAGAGAAAGGAGAGAAAGGTCTTCTTCCTTTTGCCGTTGGTTCACCCTCCAATGGCCACCGTGTCTTTCAAATAAATAAAATAAATCTTTTTTAAAAATTTATTTATTGGCTGGTGCTGCAGTGCTTGGGCCCTGCACACCATGGGAGACCAGGAGGAAGCACCTGGCTCCTGGCTTCAGATCAGCGCGGCGGCCGTGGCAGCCATTTGGGGGTGAACCAACGGAAGGAAGACCTCTCTCTCTAACTTTGCCTGTCCAAAAAAAAAAAAAAAATATATATATATATATATATTTGAAAGGCAGTTACAGAGAGAGAGAGAGAGAGAGAGAGAGAATATCTTTCCAGCAACTGGTTTCACGCCACCAAGTAGCTACAACAGCCAGGTCTGGGCCAGGCCAAAGAACTCCATCCTGGTCTCCCACATGAGTAGTGAGTGGTGAAACTGGGCCATCTGCTGCTGCTTTCCTAGGTGCGTTAGCGAGCAGCTGGATAGGAAGTGGAGCTGCTGGGAGTAGAACTGGTGCTCCAATATGGAAAGCTGGCGTCACAAATGGCAGCTTAACCCACCGCACTGGTGCCCCCCCCATTATAAATCAGTTTGATTATTTTTATTTGAAATACAGAGAAACTAAGACATACACAGAGAGTTTCAGTGCCCATAACAGCCAAGGATGGGCCAATCTAAAGCCAGGAGCCAGAAACTCCATCTGAGTCTGCACTTGCATGGCAGGTATCCAAGTACTAGAGTCATCACCTGCTGCCTCCCAGGGTGCACACCAGCAGGAAGCTGGATTTGGAAGTGCACCCAGTACCCGAACGCAGGCACACCAATATGGGATACAGGCATTCCAAGTGGTGTATTTATTTATTTAATTTTTTAAAGAATTATTTATTTGAAAGACAGAGTTCCAGGTCGGCGCCACAGCTCAATAGGCTAATCCTCTGCCTGCGGTGCCGGCACCCCGGGTTGTAGTCCTGATCGGGGCACTGGATTCTGTCCCAGTTGCCCCTCTTCCAGTCCAGCTCTCTGCTGTGGCCCGGGAAGGCAGTGGAGGATGGCCCAAGTCCTTGGGCCCTGCACCCGCATGGGAGACCAGGAGAAGTACCTAGCTCCTGGCTTCGGATCAGCACAGTGCGCCAGCCGCAGCGTGCCGGCAGCAGCGTTCCAGCCGCAGTGGCCATTGGAGGGTGAACCAATGGAAAAGGAAGACCTTTCTCTCTGTCTCTCTCTCTCACTGTCCACTCTTCCTGTCAAAAAAAAAAAAAAAAAAAAAGACAGAATTACAGAGAGAGAGAGAGAGGTGTCTTCCATTCCGCTGGTTCTCTCCCCAAATGACCGCAATGGAAAAGCTGAGCTGAGCTGAAGCCAGGAGCTTCTTCCAGGTCTCTCACATGGTGTGCAGGGGCCCAAGGACTTGGGCCATCTTCTACTGCTTTCCCAGACCATAGCAGAGAGCTGGATTGGAAGTGGAGCTACCGGGATTTGAACCGGTGCCCACAAGGGATGCCAGTACTACAGGCGATAGCTTTACCCACTACACCACAGTACCAGCCCCCCCTTTTTTTTACACACTTGATCAAATGATACTCTCCCCCCCCTTTTTTTTTAACTGAGTTTGGACTTTGGTATTTGAGGGAATGGAAATATTTTTTTAAAAATGTATTTATTTGAGGTTAGTGCTATGGTACAGCAGGTAATGCCACTACCTATAGTACCAGCATCCCATCTGGGCGCTGATTGAAGTCCTAGCTGTTCCACTTCCCAACCAGCTCCCTGCTAATGCACCTGGGAAAGCCGTGGAGGGTGGCCCAAGAACTTGGGACCCTGTACCCACGTGGGAGAATGGGAAGAAACTCCTGGCTTCGGACCATCCCAGCTCTAGCCATTGCAGACATTTGGGGAGTGAACCTGTGGATGGAAGATCTCTGACTCTCCCTCTCTCTGTATCTCTCTGTCTCTCTTTCCATAGCTCTGCCTTTCAAATAAATTAATTAATTAAAAAAAAAAAAGACTCAGCAGAAAAACAACTGGAGTCCATCAGACATTGCAGAAGATGGTGGAAACAGTGAAAGGGGATACACAACGCTGTGTTTGCTGATGGTCTTTGCTGGCTAAGATGTGCCTGAGGGGTCCTGTTCTGATCCCATAAGCTGGATCTGTGTCTTAGACGACACTCTGGACATGTGGTCCAACAGGACAGCGCTTATGTTGGGAAATGCTGAGGAGTAATCCTAAGGTGGGGGGGGGGGGAGTGCCACTGGGTGCTGGGTGAGTAGTGAGGGAATACAGATAGAGCTGCATGGGACAACCCAAGCATATAAATGCAATGGACTTCACAGCCCAGGTCGGCAAAGGCTATTGCAAATCTCTGATCAATTTAATAGCTGTGTGTGACTTCTGGGCAAGTTATAAACAGCGTTAACCTTTAACCAGCCATCTCTGCTCAATCTGTAAAATGGATCATGAAGACCTCAGTCACAGACGTTAGATGTGCTGGTGACAGGCGTTACATTGTTAAAAAAAAATCTATACCTATGTCCATTTTATGATTTATATTTTTCTGCAGGTATTCCGTACCACAGTAAAAAAGGCTTACAAGAAATAAAAATAATAAAGTGTGTTCCTCATCCAGGGCTGCTGTGTGATCTGGATAAAACCACGTTGATGAACTCTTTGCCTCCAGGCCTGGAACAAACGCACGGCCGGGGTCCATGGTTCCTACAGAGACCAGGAACCTTCTAGGATCTGGAGCCTGGAGACCCCGCGGTCTTTCTTCGTGTTGTGACTGCGCTTTGGCCTCAGTTTGCCTCAACTAAACAACTGGGTCAACTTGGGTGAACTCTGAGAACTCCACCGGTTCGACTCTACGAAGGGAATCCGAGGGCAGAAACCACACACACAACCTGGCCAGGGCTCTCCCGGCTCGGGAAGTACAAGGAATTCTCAAGTCTAGGGCGCCGGCGCAGTGCATTGTGGGCCAGCCAGCGACACTCACGTGACCGGCGACCCCGTCTTTCCTCTGACCCTAAATTCTGCAAACGCTCGCGGTCAAACGAATGTCCGAGCTCCGGCCAGTCCGACATCTGGCGCTCAGGGGAGGGGATGGGGCAGCCTCCCAGCGACGCCTTCCAAGCCCTCGGCTCCTTCCCGGGGAGGCTGGGCGGGAATGGGGCGGGGTCCGCCCTGCGCGTGATGCGGGGTGCCCGGCCCCTTGCCCTCCCTCAGGGTGGAGCTTCCTCCTCACCGCCAGACTTAAGCTGAAGCCCCTTGGCCACGCGGCAGGGTGCAGGATTGAGCCCAGGTCACGGTCGTGTGCGCTCGCCCTGTGCGCGTGCCGAGGTGAGTCTCTTGTGCCGCCGGCCCGTCTTCCTCCCGCGGGCGAGAGCCCGGCTCCTTCACAGCGGAGCGCGCGGCCCCTGGGGCAGCCAGACGTGGTTTCCGGTTTGAGCTCGTCTCTTGCATCTCCGATGGCTTCTCAGTTTCTCTGAGCCTCAGTTCCTCAGCGGTTAAGTGCGTTCCCGCGTCAGAGCTGTAGTAAGGGTGAGGACTGAAAGCTTGGCGGGCGCCTGGCTCCCAGTATTGCTCTGTGAGTTCCCGTGGGCATCTTCCTGTTTGCTCACCTCCACGGTTTTTCCAAGCGCTCTGCTCTGGTTTTCCTATGGAGGCGCACGGATGCTTCCCAGATAGTAGCACGAACTGAGGGGGACGAGAGTGGAGAATTTGCTTCTTGGGCGCCTGCGTTGGGTCTAGGAAAGATGGGGCTTATTGTTCTGATGCCGCAGAGCTCTGTTAGGCCGGGATCCCAACCTTCTCCGGATGGGGCTGCTATGAGTTCCTGCTTCCTTCAGACTGCCCGTCCTCAGGGCTGCAGGACCCCCTAGAACGGCCTTGACGGTTCTGACCAGGCCTGTTACTGGGGCAATCTCAGTATGATCCTGTCTGGTGCGCTGGAATTTATTATTTTTTATTTTATTTTTTTGCTGATTAAGGAAGTGCTTTGTTTTGCAGACATGATTCTTTACTGATTTCCCAAGGAGTAAAGGAAAAAAGTGAATCAGTGACTTCCTCAAATACCCGTCCAGCTGGCTAAGCTCCATCTCCCCATTTACAGCCTCTGTGTGCTGTATGTGTCTGCATGAATGGATACACATGTATGTATGTGTGTGCATGTGTGGTTAGGCACTCTAGGAGTGACAGAGTCTGATAGGTGGCAGACCCTGACCTCAGAGTACCAAATTTTGTAGGAAATATATGGCGAAATGTAGCAGTGTGTGCAAGGTATAGGTATACACACAGACAAACACCTCAGTGATATGCACCAGCTAAGAAGAGGTGGTTGGCCTGGAGGTCTGTGATTTGGGAAGGGAGAGTGTGTAGAGAACCTGCAGTCATTACCTGGTGCTGGTGCTGCAAGTCTGGAAAATGGGGCCAGGCCGGGCTTTGGAATCTGGACTTTCTCCTGAGGGGAGGGGAGAACTGCCAAGGAACTTGAGCACAGGAGTCACGTGGTTGCATTTGTGAATGGATCATGGGGAGACGGGCCACTCTGGAAGCAGAGAGATCATGATTTGGGTAAGGGATTTGGTGAGGAGAGCTAGGGCAGTGACAGTGCAGGTACATCTGGATGGACTTGACACAGACTTAGGAAATATGTTTTTGAATTTTCCTATTTTCAAGAAGTTTGGGAATAATTATTACAGTCTTAAGTCTTACATTATGTTTTAAATCAAACTGTCTTTTTCTATATTTATAATATTAACAGTATTTTTAACCCAGCCAAACAGCCCAAATGTGCACCAGTATTACCAACTTAAGGTGGTTTTCCAGGCTTGCTTTACATACAGAAGACACAGTTTTCTCCCCCACTGCCTACCAGATCATCAGATAACACTCAGATCCCTCAGGGAACTGCAAAATACTTTCTTTAGATAACTTTTTTTGAAGCCCTCATGGATTATGTTGTGAACTTGTTGTCTGGTTTGCTTTAATACTTGTTATCTAAACCCTGGGTTCTTGGTGACACTGTGCAATATACAGAAAGGAGAGCATAAATCAGGCACCATGCAGAGTCCTTTCTATATAGTACCGCTTGAACAGCGGAGCTGTGTAACCCCAGAGCCTGAAATGTTTGCTTTGCATTTTCCTTGCTGCTGATTTTTTTTTTCTTTTTTAAATATGAGAGGCAGAGAGATAGAAAGAGAGAGGGCTCCCAGCTCCTAGTTCATGCCCATGCTCAGGACTAGGGACTACTGAAGCTGGGAGCAGGAGTTGGGAACTCAGTTAAGACAGGCCACATGGGTGGTAAGGACTGAACCACATGAGCCACTATCGGTGGCCTTCAGAGGTCTCCATTGGCAGGAAGCTGGAATCAGAAGCCAGAGCTGGGACTGAAACCCAGGCACTCTGATTTGAGCATATTAATTACTGGGCCAAATGCGTGTCCCTGCTGCTGCTGGATTGGAGGAGTAGAATTTTGGACTTGTTGAGTCTCAGATACTTGCAGGATGTGAGTTGAATGTACGGAGCTAGAGTGGGAAGAATCAGGGCTTCAGGTAGTAACCAAAGACCTGAACTCAACCACAAGGTGAGAAGAGAATTGGGACAAAGTTCCTGGGGACACAGCATCTGCGGGATGTGGAGGAAAAGCCCAGCAGCCAGGAGCACTCATAAACGCTGCTGCCCCAGTCTGTGGGTCTCTGGGTTCCATGCATGTAGGCAGCACCTTGGAGCCCTTCTCTGAGAAGGGAAGGCGGAACCTCAGGAGAAGGAACCTGGACACTGAGTTGGGAGTGATAGAACCTGAGACCTGATCCTGCACTCTTTTCTGCCGCACTCCTGGCTTCTCACTTGACACCTCGAGATAATGCGAGGGTTTCTGGTGCTGCCTGAGATGCAGCAGGTTCTTCCTGGCAAACCCAGGCCTGGTGTCTGTTCATTGAAGAGCAGCCTGGAAAGCTGTTGTTTTAGGTTGAGCAGGCAAAGAATGACCTCATCCCAAAGAGAAACATCAGCCTGCTGCTGCCATCCCTCCATTACCCCCTTGGAAGTTTTTGTCCTTTGATGGTCTTTTTAGGACTTCTTCCCTCTTTGCTCCAAAAATCCCACCCCTTTTGGTTTTCACTTTCACCTGCAAAAGAAAGGAAGAATCAGTAGTTAGATTTCTTCCTTTTCCCCTCTGTAGGGGAGGCTTTTGTTTGAACTCTTATCCCAGCTGTAATTTCAGAGTTCTCTCTTGCATGCTGGAAAACAGTTTATTGTGAGGCCATCAAGCCCTGGAAACCAGCCAGACCCTGTTGGCAGCAGGCCACCAGCTCGCACCTGTGAAGTCCAGAACATGGTTGCTTGACCCCTGAGCAGTTTGGTTACAAAGAGTGTTGCCCTCAGCTATCTGTGGTTTACTGGCCAGATTTAAGCAGTTTTGTTTTTGCTGTAGCAGAAAGAGTGATTTCTGTTACTAGGTTATCCTAGACTATAAAATTCTTCCTGGGTCAAAAGTGTTAAGAAAGATGAGTAACTTTGTTTTATTGCCTACTTTATCACATGTCCTTTCAGAACTGGGAAGCTGAGGTTTTATATATATTTTTAAAGATTTATTTATTATTTATTTGAGAGGCAGTTACAGACAGAAAGGTCTTCCATCCACTGGTTCACTCCCCAAATGGCAACAGTGGCCAGAGCTGGCCATCGGAAGCCAAAAGCAGGAGCTTCTTCTAGGTCTCCGCTTTGGGTGCGGGAGCCCAAGCACTTGGGCCGTCTTCCACTGCTTTCCCAGGCCATTAGCAGAGAGCTGGATCAGAAAAGAAGCATCGAGACTTGAACCAACGCCCATTTGGGCTGCTGCTGCCACAAGTGGAGACTTAACCTACTATACCAGAACACTAACCCTGCTGGTTACTCTTTTCTGTAGTCTTTGTGCAGCCCCCATGCAGATTCTGGTCAAACCTCTTTCAAATTGTGCTGAAAGTATCTGTTCACCTTCTCCCTCAAGGAAGGCAATTAACCTATTTCAATGTATATCACTTGGATTTAGCATAAGACCTGGCATATTCAACTTTGCTAAACATAATAAGTATTCTTGGGCCTTTTGGAAAGTTCTTTTAATTTATTCATTTATTTTATATGTTAATTTTTATTTACTTAAAAGGCTGAGCAACAGAGAGAGAGATATCCTCCATCCCCTGGTTCAGTCTTCAGATGTCCACACAGCTAGGGCTGGGCCATGTCCAAGCCAGGAGATAGCAGCTACATCCCAGAGTAGCACATGGGTGTACTGCTTTCCTAGGATGCATTAGCAGGAAGCTAGATTGGAAGCAGAGTAGCTGGAACTCCCACTGGCAATCTGATATGGAATGTGGGTGTCTCAAGAAGATGTATAATCTGCTACACAACTATATGTACCCCTCATTTTTATTTTATTTATTTGAGAGGCAGAAAGGAGAGAGAGAGCTCCCATCCACTAAGTCACTCCCTGTATGCCTACAATGGCCAGAGCTGGCTGGTGCTGAAGCTGGGAGCTGGGAACTCAATCGAGGTCCTCCCACTGGATGGCACAAACCCAATTACAAGAGCCATCACTGCTGCTTTCCAGGTCTATATTGGTAGAAAGGTGGAGTCATCAGCCAGAGCTGGAAATCATGCCCAGAACTTTAATATGGGACATAGGTGTCTTAAGTGCTAGACTAAATGCCAGTGCCCACCCCATGCCCCATATGGAGGCTTTCCAAAGGGGGATGTTTGTTTCAATCATTTAACTTTGTTCAGTTGGAAATTTTCATCTATCTATAATTCATTACCCAGAATTAAGGTCTTCCCTTCCCTATCTACTTCCAGACCCATGTTTTGTAGCGATGTTGGCCAGCACATGGCTGAGGCTCAGACAGTAGCACTAACCCCTACACCATTCTCTTCCCATCTGTTTCAGGGGACAGTGATGGCTTCCTGTGTCATACTGCACACTGGGCAGAAGATGCCCCTAATTGGTCTGGGCACCTGGAAGAGTGAGCCTGGCCAGGTGAGGCTGGGGGAAGAGGAGAGGGACTTGGCCTGTGCTAGGGAACAGCAGGGTTTGGTGGAGGAATCCTGCCTTCTGCCTCAGCAGCCCCGCCCTCCCCCCATAATTACTTCTAGTGGGGATGCAGCTGGAGGGCGGTGGGAAGAGATCAGGGAAGAAGGGGCTGACACTGAGCCCTTGGCTTCCTCAGGTCACATCGGAGGGGCTGAGCGCACAGCAGGGCCAAGGGCACAGGAGGGACACATTCCCTGGGTCTCACAGTGCTATGAGTCCTAATACTCACTTGGCACCCTGTGCCGTGAGCACGTCTCCTCTCCCACACTGGGCTCCTTGAGGCCTGGGCTTGTCCCTAGTGCATCCGGTGTTAGGAATGTAGCAGCTGTCAAGCTTTGCAGAATACCTTGGTCAACTGTATAGACCAAGGCTAGCATACTTTTTTTTTTTTTTTTTGACAGGCCGGGTGGACAGTGAGAGAGACAGAGAGAAAGGTCTTCCATTGCAATTGGTTCACCCTCCAATGGCCACCGCGGCCGGCGCGCTGCGGCCAGTGCACCTCGCTGATCCGATGGCAGGAGCCAGGTACTTATCCTGGTCTCCCATGGGGTGCAGGGCCCAAGTACTTGGCCATCCTCCACTGCACTCCCTGGCCACAGCAGAGAGCTGGCCTGGAAGAGGGGCAACTGGGACAGAATCCGGCGCCCCGACCGGGACTAGAACCCAGTGTGCCGGCGCCACAAGGCGGAGGATTAACCTAGTGAGCCGCGGCGCCGGCCAGCATACTTTTTCTTAATGAACCAGATGGTTAATATTTTGGATTTTGTTGGACAGCTTACTAAATGGAGGTGATTATAAACTTACATAACTAATAAGTAGCTATTTCAAAGTCTTAGCTCAAGGGATGTTTAAAAAAAATGGTTACTTTCCTTGGTATAGACATATGCAAACAAGGAGATCCTGGGAATAGAACCTGCTTTATATTTTATTTGTTTATTTATTTTTATTTGAAATACAGAGAGAGAGATCTCCCAGTCTTTTGTTCAGCCCTCAAAGGTCTACAGCAGCCAGGACTGGGTCAGACAAAAGCTAGTGGCTGGGAACGCAAACCAGGTCTCCCAGTAGGTGACTGGACCAATAACCTACTGCTTTTCAGGGTATGCATTAACCATCAACTGGATTCTGGAACAGAGGTGGGACTTGGATCCAGTATGCAAGTGTCTCAAGCAAAGTCTTAAGAACTGCCCCAAATGCCTGCCCTGAGACCTGATTTTTTATGGTTAACTTAGCTATGAGGTTTAGTTTCCACTTGGGATGGGCATTTCCTATTCTCTAGTCCTTGGAAATCTGAGTCAGAGTTAAAACAGATTTGGCTATGAAGTTTGGGAGCGGTGCTAGCTGCAGAGCAGCCTCTTCTGTCTGGGATTTAGCCTAGATGTGATGTGGACAGATAGCCACAACCTTTTTCCTATTTCTTTCCCTCAGCTGCTTGGGATCTTCTAGTTGGAATCAATCGATCTCTTGATATATGCTAAATGCTGGGAAATATTATTAGTTTTTGCTGGGTCAGATTCTCATGGCTTGTTGGTATCGCACCATGTGGGCTGGGAGGGTAGAGGCAGAATGAAAATTTGCAGCATCCAAAGAGGATGGACCCTGGGACCAGAACCATCTTTCATCTTACCGCATGGCATGAATGGCTTTGGTATAGTCCTGCTCCCTTGTTGTTTTTTTTTTTTTTTTAATTTTTATTTAATAAATAAAAATTTTGAAAGTACAACTTTTTGGATTATAGCAGCTTTTCCCCCCATAACCTGCCTCCCACCTGCAACCATCCCATCTCCCACTACCACTCCCATCCCATTCTTCATCAAGATTCATTTTCAATTACCTTTATATATGGAAGATCAACTTGGTATATACTAAGAATTCAATAGTTTGCACCCACACAGTTACACAAATTATAAAGTACTGTTTGAGTAGTAGTTTTACCATTAATTTGCATAGTATAACACATTAAGGACAGAGATACTACATGAGGAGCAAGTGTACAGTGACTCCTGTTGTTAATTTAAAAATTGGCACTCTTATTTATGACGTCAGTAATCACACGCCTGCTCCCTTATTTGTAATCCTTGGTGGTGGGGAGGGAAGGGCAGGTGCAGTTTTTGGGGCAGATCAACAGAATAGACTTCTCCTCTGACCTGACAGGTTAAGGCAGCGATTAAATATGCCCTTAGCGTGGGCTACCGCCACATTGACTGTGCTACTGCATACGGCAACGAGGCTGAGATTGGCGAGGCCCTGAAGGAGAACGTAGGACCCGGCAAGGTGAGCAGTGGGGCTACAGAGGATCGGGGTGAAGAACCCAGAGGCTGGGGCTGGGGCCTGGCTGGGGAAATGCAGCATCAGCTTCCGGTGGATTCTGTCCCAGAGGTGCAGGTGGGTGAGACGGGTGCCCTCGGCTGTTCTCATCCCAGGCAGTGCCCCGGGAGGAGCTGTTTGTGACATCCAAGCTGTGGAACACCAAGCACCACCCTGAGGATGTGGAGCCTGCCCTCCGGAAGACACTGGCCGACCTCCAGCTGGAGTATCTGGACCTGTACCTGATGCACTGGCCTCATGCTTTTGAGTGAGCCTTGCCAGGGCCTTCATCTGGGGAGTCAGGGGGTTGGTGGGATCTGGTAGTAATGTACAGTGAGCAGGGCAGCAAAGCTGTAGAGGACCACTCACCTGTGTAGCAAGCCGAGCAGCTTGGTAGTAGGACCTCTGCTATAGTCAGGAGCTTAGCTATAGAACCAGGAGCTTCTCCTGGTGCACAAGTGGTCCTTCCTCTCCCCTATTCATTGAGGCTTCTGTTGAGCTAGGCCCTGGGGTTTCTGTGATGAGTCAGTCCCAACAGGGGGATTGAGAGGAGCCTGCCATCAGCACTGTGCCGGCACAGGGAGAAGGCTGGCATAGCAGATAACTCCTGGGGAGCGAGGAGGTAAGAAGGAATTCCTCCTCGAAGAGAAAGTGGATCGAGGGAGCAGAGGAGGCAGTGGAAGCTCCGTGTAGATGTGACGCCTGCATGATGAGCTGCAGGATGCAGAAGCACAGCTGTTCCTGCTTCTTGGCCCTTTGTCCTCTCTGGGCTTGGGGTGTGGGACAGAGGCAGGTAGGGCAGAAGCCTGGCATTGGTGCCCATACTTATGGGTGTGTCTTTCAATAGACGGGGAGACAACCCCTTCCCCAAGAATGCCGATGGGACTATGCGCTATGAATCCATCCACTACAAGGAGACCTGGAAAGCAATGGAGGCGCTGGTGGCTAAGGGGCTGGTGCGGGCACTGGGCCTGTCCAACTTCAACAGTCGGCAGATCGATGATGTGCTCAGCGTGGCCTCAGTGCGCCCCGCCGTCTTGCAGGTGAGCACAGCCAGCAAGTGGTGCCTTGCAGTGTTATGTGCACAGGCACTTGAGTGAGCTGGAGCTGGTGTCCTTAGTGGGGTGGTTAGCAAGTGGTCAGAAACGCGGTGCAGAAGTCCTCTGTAAAGATGGGCATTGAAGCCATGGAGATGATGGAATTGCCAGTGGAACATGGTGGGACGAGCAAGCTGAGGGGAGGTGGGAGATCAGCACTGGAGCTGGTTCCTGACATGTATGGGGCCAGGCAGCTGTGTGTAGCCACCCTGCGTGATGGCTTGTTCCTGTTTCAGGTGGAATGCCACCCATACCTGGCTCAGAATGAGCTGATTGCCCACTGCCAAGCACGTGGCCTGGAGGTGACTGCTTACAGCCCTTTGGGCTCCTCTGACCGTGCTTGGCGCGATCCTGATGAGCCTGTTCTGCTAGAGGAACCCGTGGTCCTGGCACTGGCTGAAAAGTACGGCCGATCACCAGCCCAGATCCTGCTCAGGTGCGTGGTGTTCTTGGGAGAAGCGGCTGTGGTTGAGGAGAAAAACTCTGGGGTTTGAGGCAAGGGTTGAGGGTCCTTATTTGAGGGTTAGGATGTTCACATTCCACATGGCCAGGTGCTCCAGGAGCTTTGCAAAGGCTCCGTGGAGGACAAAGTGTTCTTAGGAATCTGACTTCTCTTCCCCATCTGCCCTATCGCCCACTTAGGTGGCAGGTCCAGCGGAAAGTAATCTGCATCCCCAAGAGTGTCACTCCTTCCCGCATCCTGCAGAACATCCAGGTACCTGGGAAGGGGTTCTGTGGTCCTCAGCCCCTTGGGGCACACTCTGGCCCCCATCTGCCTAGGGAAGACGGCAGGGCTGTGAACGCGTGCTCTACCCTCAAGGCTGGCTGTCCTGACCCCACTCCCCTCTCCTAGGTGTTTGACTTCACCTTTAGCCCGGAAGAGATGAAGCAGCTGGATGCCCTGAACAGAAACTGGCGCTATATCGTGCCCATGATTGTGGTAAGATGGATTCACTCCTGAGAGGCAGGGAATTGGAGGTTTGGGTGGGATCTGGCCTCTGGTTGCTGGTGGTGGGAGGGACAGGATCATGTTTCTGGGTTTGCTCTCCTGGATTTGATGTTCTCTGCTTTGCCTTGATTTCTGAGAATTAGTATGGCTCAGAGTAAGGCATCTAATCTGAGAGCCCCAGTCTTGCTCCTCAGTGTCATGTTGTCTTGAACAAGGTATTTAGCTTCTCCAAGTTCAGCTTCCAACCTGTAAAAGGGACCCAGTTCCTGACACACAGTAGGTTGGCAGTAAATGATATGCTGAGCCCATAAGACAATTGTGGGCTTTTTTTATTTCAAAGGCAGAATAACAGAATCTGTCTTTTGCCCTCTGATTCACTTAACGGATCAGTGATAGCCAGGGTTAGGCCAGCTTAAGCCAGGAGCTGGAACTCTATGTGGGTCTCCCTCATGGGTAGCAAGAAACTGAGTACTTCGGCCATCATCGACTGTCTCCAGATGCATTAGCAGGGAGCTGGATTGGAAGCATGGAGTAGCCAGGACTCCCACCTGCCACTCTATGGGATGTGGGCATCCCAAGTGGCAGCTTAACCCTCTGTGCCACATTGCCGATCCCATTCTTGACCTTTCTGTAGGAGTTAGGTTGTGACTGAAGGCTGTGGCACATAAGGAAATAAAAAATTCCTGGGCACCTGGTCCCAGTTATGACGGCAAACTCTTAGGGGCAGGAGCAGCTAGTACCAGGCTATGGGTGTGGTGCTGCAGTGCTGTTGGTACCAAGTGGTATTTCCTGTGGCCAGGATGGGGCCCTGCCATCTGCTATAGTGCTGCTCACGGATGAGGTTGCTCAGAAGGCTGTGGGGGAGATGCCCAGAGTCTTTGCTGGTGCAGCTTCTGCTAATGAGGTCACCTGTCTGCCTCTTTTTTTTTTTCAGATGGATGGCAAGAGGGTCCCCAGAGATGCGGGGCATCCTCTGTACCCCTTTAATGACCCATACTGAGCCCTTGGCATCCTGGCTCCCCTTCAGCTCTCCAGCTATGAGGTCCTGCCACCCCCAGAAAGGGGAGTTAATAAAGCCGTGGAGCATCCACACTGGTACTCATCTGATTTGTCTGGTCAAGCCTGGGACGGAAGCCGTTTATCTCATGGATGACTGACGAGGGCTGCCAGTGGTCACCTTCTTCTGAATCCCAAACTTCCCCAACTTTCTTGGTTCTGGGGGGACTATCCAGGCAGCTGAATTCCATTTTCAAGTTGCATATTGGGGGAGTGGAATCACTCGTGGCAGCTGTTAGCACTGCATGTTGCCTTAGAATTATCAGGCCTGCCAGAAATTGGTCACCTCAGGAAAGAGATCAGGTCAGTGACTTGTGTGGTGTCAGGGCAGAGCTAGGCCTGGGCTTTGAGTTTCCACCCTCTTCCTTGAAGAGTGCTTAGATCCAGGACTATAAAGAGTTCCAAACATTTAATTTCAAAAATTTGGGGACCCTAGCATTCAAAATCATGCAAGGAGATCGGGCCTTTCCTTTCCTTTCTTTGTTTTTTTCTTTTTTTTGTCCGACAGGCAGAGTGGACAGTGAGAGAGAGAGACAGAGAGAAAGGTCTTCCTTTTGCCGTTGGTTCATCCTCCAATGGCCACCGCGGCTGGCGCACCGCACTGATCCAATGGCAGGAGCCAGGTACTTATCCTGGCCTCCCATGGGGTGCAGGGCCCAAGTACTTGGCCATCCTCCACTGCACTCCCTGGCCACAGCAGAGAGCTGGCCTGGAAGAGGGGCAACCGGGAAAGAATCCGGCGCCCCGACCGGGACTAGAACCCAGTGTGCCGGCGCCGCAAGGCAGAGGATTAGCCTAGTGAGCCGCGGCGCGGGCCTCTGGCCTTTTTCTGTGCTACACTATTGTTACTGTGCCTAGGATGCATGGAGGCGGCAGTGTCAGGGCCAAAGCTGGTCACTCCACACCTATATTATGCAGATTCCAACCAGAGGCCACTCATTATGAGGTTTTAGGGAGATTTTTAGCAAATAACCCAATTAGCTGTAAGCTCCTGCCACTCAAAACTCACAGCTGAGTACCATGGGATGCTAGTATCACAAGTGGTGGCTTAATCTGCTGAGATACAGTACTGGCCCAAAGATTTTTTTCTCCTTAGTGTAATTGGAAACCATGAGAGTTGAACTGATTACTTGGCATGATTTGTGTCCTGGAAAATCAGCCCTGATGCAGAGGAGACATGAATTAGAGGGGTAAAAGGTGGGGGGAGGGAGGCACGTTGAGGGTTAGCCCAGGGATTCTGAGCTTCCCTCACACTGTCGGCTTGGATCAGTGCACTGTTCAGTGCATCCCAGGGTGCTGGCCAGCTCTTATTACTTGCATGTTTCATTTCCCTGTTCCTGCCCTCACTGTGATTCCTTACATGCTTTCATGGTTAAACTGCCCACGGTTATGAGGTAGGGGAGTGAGTGTGTGTGTGTTTCCCAGGGCTGCTGTAACAAAGTGCCACAGGCTGGGTGGCTTAGGTAACACGAATTCGCCTTATTTTGGTTCCAGAAGCTGGACTCCGAGGTCACAGGGTCGGCAAGATGGGTTCCTTCTGGGGTTGTGAGGAATGTGTTTCCCTCCTCTCCTTGGCCTGTGAATGGCCATCTTCTCCCTTCGTGTTGGTCCCCTGAACACTTCTGTGTCCACGTTTTTCTTATAAGGATGTCAGTCACACTGGCTTAGGGCCCATCCTGATGACTTCCTTTTAACATAGTTACCTGTTGGAATACCTTTTTCCAAATCCAGTCTCCTCCCAGTTATTGGGGATTAGGACTTTAATGTTAGTGGTTATAATTTAGCCTTAACAGGAAACTAAAGTCATCATAGCCTAAAGTCACTAATCAACTTACTACTTAAAAATCACTGACCCAGGCAGTCATCAAACCCTTCTGAACATTGCTGTTTTGTTTTGACATGTCTAATCACTGTACAACACAGTGCATAGCCATGGAAATCATGTGATATTTTATTCAGCAACAGTGATATTGGGGAACTTCATAAATCATACTTAAAGTACTGAAAGAGACTTGGTGTGGTGTGCTGTTTCTTCCTCCTTCTGTCTGTCTGCCTTTCACAGAGCTTCCAACACAGCCATGTTGTTCCTGCAGGTTCCCGGCCTCCATGGTCCATAGGAGCCACTATGAGGTGGACTCAGGGAGAAGTGGAGGTTGCTAATGATGATGAGTTTGCATTTTGGATCTGTATTTGCTTCAGCTTTCCTTTTAGTAACACACCAACTGCCAGAAATAAGGATGTTTTAGTTCACCCATTTAACATACAAGGAGGGGCTGGTGCTGTGGCATGGTGGGTAAAGCCGCTGCCTATATGGCACCTATTTTTATTAAGTCTCAGTTCCTCACTTTTTCCTTAAAAGTTTATTTACAGACATACCTAGAATGCTATGAGTTCAAGAGTTTGACCCATTTTTCAAAAAGATTGTGCCTCTTCAAATGCTTTTTTTAAAAAAAGATTTATTTATCTATCTGAAAGGCAGAGTTACAGAGAGGCAGAGGCAGAATGAGAGAAAGTCTTCCATCCACTGGTTCACTCCCCAAATGGCTCCAACAGCCAGAGCTGGACTGATAGGAAGCCAGGAGCTTCTTCCAGGTCTCCCACATTGGAGAGCAGGATCCCACCCAACACTTGGACCATCTTCTGTTGCTTTCCAAGGTGCATTAGCAGGGAGTTGGGTTGGAAGTGGAGAAGCTGGAACTTGAACTGGTACTCATATGGGATTGTGGTGTCCCTGGTAGTTTAATCCACTGTGCCATGATACTGGTCCCTGGATTGGGATCTTGATATTATTTGTGGGGAGCAGCCCGGACTGGACTGAGTTACTGGAATTAAGACTTATTCTATGCATCTGCTCTCCCACAATATGGTGCTGGGAGAGAAGTAAACAGCTTCCGCACAGCTGCCTCCAGTTCAACCAATAAACTGTAGGACTTGCTACTGATTGGAGGAGAGCAGCGTACTCGGCGTGTGGGCAGCCGAGTTGGGATTGGCGGAGGAGGACTATAAAGGAGGGGAGAGACGGCATGCACCAGGAACATCTAAGGGGAACATCTAAGGGAACACCTGTGCAGCCCCCGAGAAGAGCCGGCCGGTGGTGTGCCGCTCCCCTGCGGAAGTGGGGAAAGCGGCCAGGGGGAACCGCCCTTCCACGGAGGTGGAAGGGATAGTAGCCAACCCGGGAAGAACCAGCAGCAAACCCGGGGAGGGCCGAGCAGACAGAAAGAACAGCGCAGGGTCCTGTGTCGTTCCTCCACGAAGAGGGGGAGCGACATTATTGAACTAGCAAATCAAATCAACCCTGAAGGTTGCCCATGTGAGTCTTAAATTTTTCATTGCTGGAACCAGATTAAGTTGGGTTTTCTAAGGCAACAAAGAGTCCTAATTTTCCCTTTAGTGAGTGCAGGAGGCCATGAGAATATAAAAAGGGAGTCTTAACTGAGTCCAGGCTGAGTCAGGGACGGCGTCTCAGAAGCGATGTCTGGGAAGTAGGATGCATTTGAAGGAAAGAATGTTGTAGGTCAGGGAAACATGGAAAGTGTCACCGCTGAGAGACGAGAAAGATGCTTAGGAAACTATCTGCCATTCTCAGGTACTCAAACTGAAAACCTAGGAGTCATCCTGACTCTTCCTTTTTAACCTCTTCCTTCAAATGGATCACTAAGGGCTGCCAGTTCCACTCCTAAATCGTTCTGAAATTTGTCCTCTCCACTCCATGATGAGGGTGGGAACTGCTGTCCTGGCACAAACTCATCATCTCTTGATAAGGTGTGAATAGGCAAGCAGCTAGTTAAGTCTAAATAAGGAGGCTGGAGCTGTGGCACAGTGGGTTAAAGCCCTGGCCTGAAGTGCCAACATCCCATATGGGCACCACATCTAGTCCCAGCTGTTCCTCATCTGATCCAGCTCTCTGCTGAGGCCTGGAAAAGCAATAGAAG